GTCACCCCTCGTCCGAGGCTTGTTGTCAGTGAATGCTGGTCTTTCCATACACCACTCCTCGTCCGTCGGGAGTATTCCCAAGTCAACGAGGTCGCTTGTTTGGGAGGGAGGGGTTTCGGGGGGGGGTTGGAGGGAGGAATGCCTCGCCTTAGAAGGAGGCAGCGAGAACAGCTCGCTGTCGCGGTCATGGCTGTCGCCGGTAGGATGGCCGAGGACGCTTTCCAAAGCCTCGACGACCTCCTCGGTTTCCGGACAGCAAGGCCCCTGTTCCTGGCGCAACAGTCCAATGACACCCTGTTTGGTCTCGGAGATGACGATGACGACCATGGGCAGGGAGGGCGTAGTTTGCTTTGGTTGTGGCCAACCATCGTCGACATCTGTCATCTCTTGCCTCGGGCTTCGCCTAGGTGGTGGGTCATGAGGCGAACAGCAGGGTTGTGGAACGACCTGCTTCCAAGAGACAACGCCGAGAACGACCATTATCTAGGCCTGTTGCGCATGCGTCGCTCCACGTTCGATAGACTGCTGTGAAAGATCGGTCCCTTTTTGGAGAGGACAGTCACAAGATTTAGGCTGCCGTTACCTCCGGCGAAGCTACTGGCGTATGCTCTGCACCGGTGGGCCCATGGTGACACGCACTGGCACAGTGCCTCTTGTTACGGGATGGGCAAAACCAGCGCATTGCGAGCCATTGCGGATGTGGCGGATGCGATTCGTGCCGCTTATCCGAAGGCTGTTAGCTTTGGGGGTTTGGAAGACTGTCATCGACGCATGCAGCAATTCGAGGCGTTGGGGTTTCCGAATTGCTGGGGCTGTATTGACAACACCCATGTGTATGTCGACAAACCCCGGTCGAGGGACGTCGATGACTATTGCTCCGGTCGTCACAACCGATTCTCCCTCGTCACGCAATTGGTGGTGGACTCGGAGTTGAAGATCTTGGACTTCTCCTACGGTTTTCCGGGGACTGTGGGCGACGCACGTGTTCTAAAGCACACGTCATTGTACAGGCGAGCCCTAAAGGGGTCATTGTTTTTTGACGATCCAGAAGATCCACACCGTGGCGAACGACCGTGTATACCATGTGTCCCCGGGGGGTACTTGCTTGGGGATGGCGGGTATCCCAGTCTTCCCTGGCTTGTCATTCCGTACGGGCGTCAACCAGTGGTCACGCGAGCAATGCAGCGCTTTGACGCTCTACACAAGATAGTGAGGTCTTGTGTCGAGCGGTTCTTTGGTGTGTTCAAGATGCGGTTCCATTACTTCTACCGGCCGCACATTGCCGACATCACGAGGGAGAGGCTGGAGTTCCACGCTTGTTGTATTCTCCACAACCTGCTTCAGGAGTGGGGTGACCTGCCCAAAGAGGAGGGTGAGTTCATGGATGCCTCGTCTCCCGACAGTCCGCCTCCTGATGTTGACAGACATGTCGACGGTTGTCCGCTGAAGTCCATGTTCGGTCGGGAGCGTGGGCAGGCTGTGAGGGATGCACTGTGCACTGAGGTCCTTCGACTATGGGAGGCCCGACTGAATCATTGAAACTCCGGTTTCTTTTCAGCACATATAAAGCAGTGGTAGGGTGTTGTCGAAAAAAAGGTGGGTCTTGTGGAGACAACAATACCATAGACTTCGCTGCGTAGTGGGTTATTGGGCCACACATAGCTCTGCTTTTCTGCAGTTCGTACGTGCTAAGGCGACGCAGCTATGGCGGATAAAAATCGTCCCAGATGCTATGCGTATTAGAGGCGTTCCTTGATAACATACATGGAGAACACAGAGAAGGAGGTCGAACGCCTTCACCGATTTCTGGTGGACAGGGGAGATAGCATCACCGTTACTTTGAGATGTGGGAGGTTGGTTTCTGATACTGACATCTCCCTTGAGAACATACACGCCCGTCGATGGGCGTTGTCGGTCATGAAAAGGCTGCGTGACTCGCGTGACGGGTTGCGTCAGTGTTGTGATGACCTCGTCGTCAACAACATGCAGATACGGCGACAGATAGATGAATGGAGACGGATGGCAGAGGAAATGAGAGCGAATTTCGACTGCAGTACGCATGCGTTGCAAGAGGTCGAGAGGCAGAGAGATGAAGCCATGACTACATTGGAAGCTGCTGAAGCAGAGCTCGAAGTGGCAAGAGAACAAGCACAAACGACGTGGAGGTTTCATGACGAAGTGCTGCACGGGGGGGTTGGGGGGGGGGTCGGGTAAAGACGATGTGTGTGAAAGGTTTGCATCCATGTCACTGGGAGACAGGGAGAAAGGAAAAGCACCTGCAACGTTGGGGACAAGCTGTGCAAGCTGCGATGACATCCGCGCGACTTTGGCAGAGAAGGAGAGAGAGATCATCGGCCTTCAAATTGTGAACGAGATGCTTCAGTACCCGCCGTCGTATTGGGAGGAAGCGGACAGGGATTTGGCACAGTTTTCTCAAATTACAGGTTTAGGGTCGCCGCCGTCGAAGTGCGAGTGAAAGTGTGTGTGTGTGTGTGTGTGTTTTAGATAGACAGATGGAGGAGAGTGAGAGAGACAGAGAGAGAGAGAGAGAGAGAGAGAGAGAGAGAGAGAGAGAGAGAGAGAGAGAGAGAGAGAGAGAGAGATGTTGAAAGCCGCGCGAGCGATGGAGAGGTGACTGGGATTGTGACTCAGAAATCGATAGAAAAGAACGCCTTGTTTCCTTTCCCATTTCCCTTAATCTTACTCTCGTTCTTCTTTGCCCTCTCCTTAGTTCTTCTTCCACTGCTTCTTCTTCTCCTTCCTCTTCCTTTTCCTCTTCTTCTTCTTCTCCTTCTCTATATCCTTCTTCTTCTTCTTCTTCAACTACGGTCCAATGTTGGTCGGTCTGTGAGTCGGATTTGTACGGTTATTCGCTTCATGCATTTCTTGCGCTTCAATTGGCTTTTGCCGAATACTGCATGGAACTTGTCAAACTCAAACCTCATACGTCATTCATAGATTGCTGCACTGTGAATGGCTTCAATGCAATGTGATTGTGTGTTAAATAGTGGTAGTTGGATGATTTGTCGGAGAAATCGGTTTCTGATCTCTGTTCGATGCGTTTGCATGAACATACATACTCATGTGCGCATAAACTATTCCACACAACCATATTGTAAGCAGTCTATAATTGCTAAATATGCGTTTCATGTACCATGACAGTACCTCATGTTCATCCCATGAAAGGTTTTTTTTTTTTTTGTCAAAGCTGTGGGTGAACATAGTAAAAAAAAACGGAACGAAATCATGACCGCAAGGGTGAGATGTACTTCACGTCGAGACGCCGTTTATCAGAAGCAACCAATGAAGAAGTAATGTAGCAAAAGAAACATTAGTACATGCGCAAGGAAAAAAGAAGTAAAAGAAGAATCAAAGAAGAAGATGATGGAGGAAGAATAACAAGTAATGTAGTAAAAGAAACATTAGTACATATGGCTGTGACAGACGGAAAGATTCGGAACAAAGATCCCGTTTGGGCCGTTCTCCTCCTCCCTTCGTTCTTCTCATCCAACCAATGAAAAGAGACCGTTGACATCATCTTTCTCCACGTCAACATCATCAAGGACGTCACCATCGCCGAGTCCTCTTCCTCTCTCTCTCTCCTTTGTCTTTTCATTTGTCTGCAGCATCCGTCCTTCGTCTTGCCTCTTTGCCAAATCTCGGAATCGCAATCGACCGCTCCATCCTCTTCTTTGTCCGCCGTGCCCCCCGCGGCCATTTTCCCGCCTTATCCACCTATACACGATGATGTTCATAATGATGAAGATGATTACGATGATCCGCTCGTCCGACGTGGACAACAACGTTTACATCCTGCTGACATGGACAGCGACCTTTAGATCCCGCTGCTTCGCTGCTCCAGCGCTCCGTGCTTCGGCGCTCCAATGCTTCGCTGCTCCGCTGCTCCGGTTGCTACACTATTTCCCGCCGAAGTGGACAAAAACCTTTACATTCCGTTGCTCCGCCATTTCCCGATTGTCCGCTATTCCGCTGCTCCGTGCCGTGGTTGTACCGCTGCTGACGTGGACAGCTGACGTGGACAGCAACCTTAAGATCCCGCTGCTCCGCTATGTCCGGCTTCTCCTCTGCTCCGCGTCCGCTGACGTGGACAGCAACCTTGACATCCCGTGCCTTCGCCATACCACGCTGCTCCGCTATTCCGCTGCGCCGTGGCGAGGCTGCATCCGGTGCATGTGTATGTCCGCTGACGTGGACAACAACCTTGAGATCCCACTGCGCCGCCATATCCCGCTGCTCCGGTATTCCGTTGCTCCGCTATTCTGCTGCTCTGCTATTCCGCTGATGTGGACAACAACAGTCAAAGAAAGCAACCTTTAGATCCGCTGACGTGGTGGGTGCCGCTGACGTGGACAACTGACGTCGACAGCAACCTTTAGATCCGTTGCATGTGTATGTTCGCTGACGTGGACAGCAACCTTGAGATCCCGCTGCGCCGCCATATCCCGCTGCTCCGCCATTCCGCTGCTCCGCTATTCCGCTGCTCCGCTATTCCGCTGCTCCGCTATTCCGCTGACGTGGATAACTGACGTCGATAGTAACCTTTAGATCCCGCTGCTCCGCTATGTCCGGCTTCTCCGCTGCTCCGCTGCTCCGGTTGCTCCGCTATATCCCGATGACATGACCAGGTGACGTGGACACACTACATTCGTATCTCGCCATGAAGATAGCCGCGGCCGACAAGGGGCGGAACCATGAAAGTATAATAAAATGCCCCCATCTCCAGCCTGTCCGCATTTTTCATGGCTAGGTTGTCCATGAAGTTGGTGATGATGTCACCGACGACGTCCACCTGGAGATCCGCCCAAATCGTCCGACACTACATCCCCAGTCTTCTTCACCCACACGAGAACGTGCGACAAGAGTCGCCTGTTGTATCCTAGTGCGACCTCCAGATCCACGGCCGCCTTACCGTCGACATCGCTTGTTGTGATCTCCGGGCCGAACGACAGTTCCCGGTGAAAATACCCATCCCGTTCTCCTCGCCGCTCCCAACACATTATCGCCTGGCCCCGAACAATCTCCATCCATGCCAGCTGCAACGCCATCTCTCTCTCTCTCTCTCTCTCTCTCTCTCTCTCTCTCTCTCTCTCTCTCTCTCTCTCTCTCTCTCTCTCTCTCTCTCTCCCCCTTTTTCGCACGCTCCCTCTCTGTGTCCTCTACCGCTCTCTCTCTGTGTCGCATTCCCGCTTTCTGCATTGTTGAGAGGAACAACCTCCTCTCACAGTAAATACTTGTCAGAGGGTTGGGGGATGCGGTCGGACGACGTACATGTGTAATCGAGCGTGGATTTTGGTTTTTTTTTTCTGTGGCGTTGTTTTATTTTTTTTTCATTTTTTGGGTCTTTTCGTCGAAGTGCTCCCCATCGTGCGGGCCGTGCTGCTCTTCTCAGTGACGTGACAGTTCAGCGAGCCTGTAACCTGAACGATCACACCTCAACTGAATGTTCATTTACTTTCTGTTTTAATCGGCGGCAGTTGTGTGTTTCATGGTTGTGGCATCCATGCAAGTTTTGTTTTTGGTTGTGTTTGACGTTATGTTTTTTACTTGTCGTTTTTTTGTTTTACAATGAACAAGTGCTCATGGTCGTGAGGCCCATGCAAGTGTTAATGTTGTCACAGTAGACATGAAGAGTCACACCAACAGTCACCCTTAAAACAACGATTGCCGTTTTTGGCGGTTGACGTGGCACATCACCATTAACGCGACATGTCATAGCCACGCTGTCGGGCGCATCGGTCCGGCACCGCACGAGGCAGCGCGGGACCCTCTCGGCCGCGTCACGCAGGAGTTGGACCAGCCTCGTCGCGAACACACAAATGGAGCTTCCTTAGGCCGCTCCGGCCGAGTGCGCCAACCATACCTCTCGCGAGCCCCTACGACAGGATAGGGCCTACGTGAGGCACAACTTACCTCCACCTTACGGGAGTTGTCACCTCCCTTCGGTGGGCGTATCCCCGCCGAGCTACAAGTCCACAGTACGAAAGCTACTCGGTTGCAATCGCAGAGGTGGACCAGCCGAGGGCGTTTCTCGTTCGCTGTAGCATAGGGGGTACGCGAGGTAATACGCCTATCGGACCCGCACGCGAGCCGACATCTTGGAGGGCTGAGGTCCCAAGCGCGACTCGTCGTCGGTCGATTAGGACGCATCCCACACACCACGCGCACACCACTTTACGAACACAAAAATAAAACACATGCATACACAACACGACACAACACAAACAACGCGCCAACGCTCCTAGTCCCTCGGTAGTCAACCCATAACTTTCTGATGCGGAAATCGGATAGGCGTCGCGCGCGAGACTCAGTATAAAACCTCACGGACGCAGGGCTAACTCATATCGACTCACAATGCAAACGTGCGCAAGCAGTCGCAATGAAGGCGTACTATATAGTACCCATGCTCATGTGGCCCTCGTTAATCGGGAGGGTCGCGTTCGACACTTAAGTGTCGGCTGACAAGCGCCTTGAGGGTTAATCTCTCAACGCTGGACAACCGTCATGCGCGGTTGAGGACCACACCCTCTTCTGCACCCTGTGC